TTCATTGACTCCAATCAGTCTTACGTTATTCTTCTTTGCATCGTCTAACAGCTGCTGGATTGATTTCTCGTGTTCCTTTACAATTTTAAAGCAATTTTTCTTTTCCTCCTCACTAATTGCAATCTTATCTTCTATATGTGAAATTCTGTCCTCATATTGGTTCATTCTGTGCAGCAAATATTCTTATTTCTTCCATTTTTTATTTCTTCCTTTTTTAAAACCTATAAGCAGTACTGTATTGGAAAGTCACATTTGAGAATGAGAGCTCATTCAGCGTATTCTTAAGTCAGTGACTATGACTTCTAAACCCCAATTTATTTGCATGTAAATATACAGGAGACCACACATATATAAAAGTATATTCATTTCTATATGTCAGCCTTTTCTTATCTGTCATAACTTATAGCAAGCACAGGTGAATTTCAATAAAATCAAGATATTTTTCCCTCTCCCCTATCTTTTCTCCTCTTATACTTCACCATTTTATACCATTGCCACTCTTTTGATGACCAATGAAAGCTCTCCACCAGTTCCCAGCATCCTGGGATCTCAAGGACCAGAGGAGAATTAAGGCCTGATTGGCCTCCTCTGTGACAAAGGAGAAAGGCTGTACTTTAGGGTGACTGCATATTAGGGAAAAGTTAAGACAGCTGAGGTTAAGTTGTTTACCAGAGAGTACTAATGGATACTGGAAACCAAATGAATCTTGTGTTACCTTGATTGCTTGTGTCCCTGTTTACGTGAATAAAAGTGATGTGAGTCAAAGGCTCAGGGCCCCTCTGCCTACCAGAGGTAGGAGCCCCGACTGCCTGCAGGTTAAGCTGACTCCGTGTCTCTTTGTCATTCATCCTCCTTCACCCCTGGGTCAGGGAGGAACAAAGTAACGGGAGACTCAGCTACAGGTGGTACTCCAGGCTTGGGGCTCATGACCCCGAGTCGCCTACAGCTGACACCCATAACAGGGACCTGAGACCAGGATTGCCAACACTGGGAGAAACTAAAGCAAAATAATCTTACCAATCATATGATTTCCATAAAGGAGCTGCTCCAGAATTGCAGTTTTCCCCACAGATAACAATCCACAAACCACAACTTTGCATCCCTTTCCCATCTTCTCTCAGGATATCACTGTGAAGAGAATAGTCTTTATTGTTGAAATGTATCTTTTTCCTTCTTTTGAAGTTTAAATTTAATCAGTAATATATACACAGGATAAATTTCAAATATAAGAAAGACAATACAGAATAAGACTCTTTCCAAATCCCATTCCCCAGTCTTCCATTTGCTCCCTTAGGCCAATCACTGAAATAATTCCTTATCTTCAGAGATAATCTAGATTTACTGTAACATTACAACACACATGCACACAATTGGTTTATTTATTTATTTATTTATTTAGGGTACTGAGAATCAAATTCAGGGACTGTCAATTGCCAGGCAGATGCTGTGGCACTAAGCTACACTTCCCAGCCCCACAATTGCTTAAAAAAAAAAAAATTTTACATGAACAATTATTTCAGTATTGATAAATCTCTAGGAATCCAATAAAATCTTTAATCCTTAAAAAAGACTGCCTACTCATCAATGTTTACCTGGGAAAATAAACATTTAAGTAAAGCTTTAAAGAGGCAGGGACATAAAATTTTTGGACAAAGAATGGCCCTTTTTAAAAAGAAATATTAGTACTACTGTCAATCTATTCTCAGGAGAGTGAAAAATTGGATTTTGGTAGTCACACAGGCTCTTTTAGTCATACTTTTTTTTCTGGTACCAGGGATTGAACTCAGGTCCTTTTGCTTGCAAAAGCAGGCGGCGGAACCACTGAGCTAAATTCCCGGCCAGTCACACTGCTTTTTTAAGGAGGCACAGACAATGCTAGAAAAATTACCCAGGCACTCTAAACTAGGAAAAGGAAAATTCATTTTTCCTAGCTTTCCAATTTATATCCAAGAAACAGCAAGTTCAGGTAACATTTTTTTCAAACATCCTCAAGGCTTCTGTTTTCTAGAAGAAAGGAAAAAAAGGATCATTAAATACAACAGAATAACCTCCTAAAATAAATTCTAATTTTGACATTATTTTTTGCCATCTCTCACCAGCTCCTTCTTTCCTCCAGTTCTTACCTACAAATGGATATGCCATAATCCTAGCTAAAAGGGATGTCACAACTCCCTGTATTCAGAAACAACCGTAAGAAAGCAAATGCTGAATATCTGTGTTCACTTGGACTGTGACAACTAAAAATCCAACACAGAATATATCTTAATGGTGCCAGAACATTAGCTATCTTTGTACACATGTGTGTTGCCCAGCACTATTAGTTTTACCAACTCTGAAAACATTAAGCAACAAATGAAGTTTCCTTAAGTCTTCTTTATTTTCTCTAAGTCTGTAATTCTTTATGACCCAAATCAACCAGTCAGCTGACAGAAAAAAAGTTAATGCTAATATTAATGTAGCATTGTAACAATACAGCATTCATTTCTAGAGCAGAACACTGTATTTTACCTGTAAGGCAAATAACCATTTCTCTGTGATGCCACCATTATTTCCTGGGTAGCAAACACAGGAAATAATCTTTCTGTAGCCTAGATCTCTCAAGAATATTTACCACTTCCTTCCTGTGCACCAATTCTTGTAAGGGACTTTCTTTTCTTTATATTTTCAACATAACTACGATAGAAAAATTCTTTGCCTTTATCAATAAGGGCATAGCTTTATGTAACATTGATTATCTATGATATGATATCTCCTATGTCTGTAACTATAGCCTATTTTAAAGGGTTTTCAAGAAATGCAGGTACCTCTGAATTTATGGTTTTGTGTGTGTGTTGTCATTTTTTTTTACGGTGTCACAGATTGAACTCAGAGCCTCACGTTGAGCTATATCCCTATATTATTTTACTTTGTACTCTGAGACAGAGTTTGCTAATTTGCCCAGACTGGCTTCAAACTCATGATCTTCTGCCTCAGCCTCCTGAGTAGCTCAGATTACTGGCATGTACCACTGTGCCCAGCTAAATTTATGATTAATGTCATTTATCATAGGGGTCTACTCTTTCCACATGTTGTGACTTCTTGGTAAGTTATGATACCACTGAATATTTCTTTCAAATGTTTTCTAATGATAATAGCCAGGTGTGGTGGTGCACGCCAGCACTCAGGAGGCTGAGGCTAGAGGATCACCCCAAGTTCAAGGCCAGCCTGGGCTACAAAGCAAGATCCTGTCTCAAAAAAAAAAAGAGAATTTAAAGGAAGCTGCCACCTAGGCATCTACAAAGAGTTTGAAAAAGAAATCTACCAATCTACTGGAATATAGAAAAAATAATGGCAGTGCAATATAATTCTATCAGAAAAAGTTGCTGTTGGAATCTAAACTCTAACTTTTTAATTGTCATTTCCCTTCCTCTGAAAATGTCAGCCTCTGTAGAATTTCTAAATATCAATCCTTACCCTTCTTCCCTTCCTGTTCAAATGGGTATAAGTAAATGCCCTTTTATCACATTATACCAATCTTCTAAAAAACTCCAGTGCCTTAAAAGGGTGGACTGACATTGTAGCTAAAAGAAAGCAATAGCTAGCCACAAGAGAAAAAAGCAAAACAAAACATCAAAAAACAAACCCAGTGATTCATACTAGTAACAGGAAAGCAAGTATGAGTGCAAGGAGCTGCAGCAAATTGGGAAAATGGCGAAGCCAAAAGACTCCTGAGAACTTAAGATCAAATGCTGTACACCAAAGACCCTTTGGAAGTGATCTTAAAATATGTGCTTAAAAAGTGGTACACTTTGATTGTACTTGGATGGTTCACTGATGCTAGGATTAGCAGATAAAGTTAGTCAAGAATATATTATTATTTTGTATTTGTGTGTAAGTATATACAAATAAACTGGGGCGTTCACTTCGATACTGCCAGAAAAGACTTCACCAAGGACAAAGAGTAAAGCTAACTGAATACAGGTAGCTCAAAACACAGGCTAAGAACCAGGCATAATAGTGCATACCTGAGATGGGAGGCTTGCTTGAACCCAGGAGTTGACGACCAGACTGGGCAACACAGTGAAACTCCATCTCAAAACAAGCACAACATCAGCAAAACAAAACACACTAGCTAAGAAACTTAAGATTTTTCTTTTTTTAGGAAGAAAAGAGAAGGATCAAACAGACCTCAATAAATACTTTACACTATGGAAAGGAAAACAAAGATAAAAACATAAGTGTGATTAATCAGAGCATGGCTGAAATATTCTAGGTTCCTAGTTGTCTTCCAAATTGGAAACAGTACTACTGAAGAAAGCAGATTAGTGACCCGCTAGCGTCAATTAAAAAGTATGAAGCTGGGGGCAGTGGCGAATGCCTGTAATCCCAGCATTTGGGAGGCTGAGGCAGGAGGATCGCCACAAGTTCGAGGCCTGCCTGGGGTACATAGTGAGTTCAGAGCCAGCCTGAACTACGTAGGGAGGACTTGCCTCAAAAAAACAAAACAAAACAAAACAAAAGTATGAATCCCTTATAAACTGTATTTTTATTTTTAAAGTGTTATGATATAACATACAGCATAGAAAAATATATATCTAATCTGTAACGTTCTCATTATTATCAGTGTCTCAAAGGCTAGCAGAGGCAAAGACAGTGACCACTCTAAACTTTTTTTTAAAGATGGTCTCCTTTTGCTGCCCAGGCTGGTACAGAATGCTCAGACTTAAATGATCCTCCAGCCTCAGTCTTCCAAGTAGCTGGGACTACAGGTACATGCCACACACCTGGTGACAGCTCTGAACTATTTATTGGTCATAATTTTTGCAGGAAAAACTTACTCTTTGGGCCAGGAATGTAGCTCAGCAGCACAGCATCTGCCTGGCAAGTGTGAGGCCCTGAGTTCGATTACGGGTACCAAAAAAAAAGCACACACACCTTACTTTCAAGTTAGTGTAGATATGTGGGGGTTTTCTAACTCAAAATATGTAAATTCCTCTACATGGAAGTAAAAATAATTCATTCTGAATAAATAACATAACAACACACAGAAAGAATACTTTGTTCCCCCTATATAATTCCTATGACAATAATTCACATAAAAATATAAGTGCTTCTCGTGCCTAAATATACCCAGATTTACAAATAAAAACTACTAGCTGAGCATGGTATGCTACATATCATGCTACATAGCATGAGCACATGCCTGTAATCCAACACTCTGGGAGGGTGAGCCTGAGAGACCACGAGTTCAAGCTCGGCATGGACAAGAGAGACCTTGTCTCAAAAAAATTCAAGAGGGCCTGGGATTTAGCTCAGTGGTTTCGCCGCCTGCTGCGCAAGCACAAGGACCTGAGTTCAATCCCTGGTGAAGAAAAAAAAAAAAAAATTCAAGAGCCAGGGATGTAACTCAGTGGCGCCACGCCTGCCTTGCAAGTGCAAGGTCTTGAATTCGATTCCCTGGTACAAAAAAAAATCAAAAAGGGCTAGAGATGTAGTTCATTGCTAAGGCCCTGATTTCAGTTTCCAGTACTGCAAGTAAGTACTACTACAAGCTTAGTTCCATTCGCATTATGCTTCATAATACAGTACTAAATTGAAATACAATTGTAATTATAAATATCATAAGCATAATATAGCATAAATACAATAAATGTACAAAAAGGTCACCTGCAGTACCCTGGACAGGCAAAGAATCACATGAAGAGATCCTGGGCATGGTCAAGCCTCTTAAATCTAGTTTCAAGAGTTTGGAAAGCCACAGAGTAAATAGATGACCTTTAGGTTCCTTTCAAAACTGCCATGCCAGCTGGACATGGTTGTGGACACCTGTAATCCCACTACTTGGGTGGCTGACACAGGAGGATCACTGTGAGTTCGAGGCCAGCCTAGACCACCTAGTGAAACCCTGTCTCAAAAAAACAAAACGAACCCAAAGCAAAAGAGCAAAAAACCTGCCATGCCATGAGAGGGGAAACTGCTTATCCAGAATATGTATCAACACTGAAGTTAACATAAAATGCAGTACTTATAGTTTCTTGTAATAGTTCTTACCCTAAGTAAGAGATTGCTGGACAACAAAACTCAATCTGTGACCTACTAAACTTCATCTGACATAAACAACTGAGAGAGCATTTTTAAAAGGGAAGATCCAAAGCTGTCTGAAATCCACATTGCTTTGCTTTATAGAATAATCAATAATATTGTTAGAAAACACATTCGATTGTCCACTCCTATGGAAAATACCGAACTTTATCAACATTCTCTCTGAGGAATCATCAGAAACAGCTTCCCCAAACTTCCAAATAAGGGGATCACTCTATTTTTTTTTTTTTTTTTTGGTACCGGAGATTGAACTCAGGACCTTGTGCTTGCGAGGCAGGTGCCGGAGCCACTGAGCTAAATCCCTGGCCCCATTTTATTTTTATAGTAAAACAACTTCTATGCAACTAGAAAGATACCAAAACACTGTTAACATCACAGGAAAGATGTTATAAATCTGAAAAAATAGCATCAGATGAGTAAAACTTCTACACTGCATATTTACTTATATAAACATTATGGCATGTAATACTTTCACATGTAAATATTTTTACCATCATAAACATTCAAAGGGTTTTGCAAGTACTTCACATAGTGAAATATAATAAGCAGAGTTCAGCTTACCATTCTTTATTTAATAGTGAGGGCCTACCTTAACTTCAAACATCAGAGACAAACTAAAGGGAAAACCAGAAATGATCTTTGTCTTCAGGAAATCTCAAAATCTAATGGATATACACATACAAATCCCACTAAACTGCTAATTGAGAAACTGCACATCGAAAAAACTGCAAAACCAATTGATAAATTAATAGTGATTATTCACATTCCCCACATCATCTTTCCACATGATTCATTCAAATAGGCAGTCACCCTAAATTCATTTTCCCTTGAACCCCGAATCTTGATCATGATCCACCGGTAAATCCTGTTCTGTACCTTTGAGATATATCCAGGGCTGCATCGATTTCCATCTTCATTACTATTCAAGGGGCCTGAGGCACTATCTCTCTCTCTCTCATCTGGTCTGATCTTCCCAAAACCCTATTCTAGTCCCCAAAACTTGTTACTATTTTCCAAGGTCAAGAAATTTAGCGTGTGTAAGTGAATTAAGTCTTTAGATACAGAAACTATCCTTAGATTATGGGGTGGAGCAGAGCAACGTAAATCACTACTGTCTGTGACAGGACCACCGAAGAGGTGCGAGGAAGTGACTGGAAGGTGCAGGAATGCAGGCAGGGGCCCACTAATGCTGCCCCCCCCCGCCCCGTACAGAAGGAACAGTCCTAGAGACATCTTGATTTTCACCTAGTATCTCTGCTTCCACCTTTTCTCTTTCCTTTTAGTCTCAAAGTAGCAACTCAAGTTACCCTTTTAAAATATAAGCCGTATGTTCAAAACCTTCCAGTGCTTTCCAGTCTTAGGCAGTTTGAAATCTTAAGTCCACATAAAAACCTTCACCTCTCTGACATTCTGTCCTACTTTCTCACAGGGCTGACGCAAGCCACGGTGGATCCCTGTGTTTCTTTTTGCGTCCTAGCGTATTTCAGCCTTGTCACTTCTCCCTTTGCCCCGGTGAACTCACCAGCCTACAGACCAGCTCAAATCTTGGGCGGGTTATTTGTCGCTTGGGGCTGGGGAATGGCCCGAGGGCCTCGAACAGGCATTAAAACGCACTGTACCAGCGAGATACACTCCCAGGCCTGAGGTCTCTTCCAAAGGTTACTACTCGAGAAAGATACCCTGAACACTCCATCAAAAACTGTAACCGCCACCAGGTGTTCCCCAGGATAAACAAGTGAGGCCGTGAGCCTCACTGCCGTCAACTGCCCCCTGCGGGTCCTTGGCTAACGCTGGAGCCAGAGCTGGAGCCAGCTGTGTGGGCGGCCCGTCCCCCAAAGTAAGCCCGGCACAGCGGCGGGGTGCTCGGCGCCGGCAAAGGGCAACGCAGTGCTCGCGCCTTCGGCGGCAACCCTCACCCCAGCACCCCTACCCTTTGCTGCCCTCGACGCTTCCCCCTTAGCGTGTACCACCAAATGGAACATCTACAGTACTTACGTTTACGGTTTGTTTCCAAGAAAGCTAAAATTTCTGCGTTCGCTGCGGCATCTCCAGCTAGGATAGTGCCTGGCATATATGAGCTATTTAATATATTTTATACTTGTTGGGTGAATAAATAGGGGAGGACTCTTACAATGGCAAAAATGTAGTTTTTTTAAAGGCAAATATGAAGGGGGGCGCAAAACCATTAACTGACTTACAAGGTAAATATGATTCACTTAAGCCTTGGCCACACATAAAAGGATTAGGAAGGTAATTAAAATCACACGACTGTATTAAAAATATTCTGGAAGCCCAAAAAAAGCCAGTGAACTATTTCTCGATAAAGAACGCAACGCAAAATGCCAGTATTTTCTCGGCATTTCTTCCCAAAGCATTCGCACCTGCCAAACAGGTCTTGGCAAATAATTTTGCTTTTCAAAACAACAACAACAAAAACACAAACTGGTCTGACGCTAGCAAATCTGGGAGAAAACGCACACACAGAAAAGCAGGGAAACGAAAGGCGCCGAGCCCCAGCACCCACCCCGCGCTCGGAGCCGGGCCTGCGGGAAGGAGACGCGCGGGGCCCCTCCACGGAGGCCTCGCTGCGGGCTCGGAACCTTCCTGACGGAGACCGGAGAGGGCCAGCGCCCCCGGGAACCAGCGGCGACTTCTCAGGTGAGGAGTGAACGAACCTGTGCGCTGCAGCCGAGCTCTCAGATACCAGCGCGCAGGATACGCGACTCCGCAGCGGTCCAACGCCACCAGCTTTAGGGCCCCGCCCTCAACTTGCCTCCTCTGAGCCGCAGGAGGACACGGTCCACCCCCGGCCAGACCTCGCCTCTCTCAAGCTCCGGTGCCGCCTCTCAGGCAACTATTCCTCCAAAGGAGCTGGGGGCGGGAAACAAAGGGTTTTGCCCAATCCCGGCCGAACCTCGCCCACCGGACTCGAGGCCGGAACTACATATCCCATGAGGTTCTGGGTGGCAGCCGCGTTCCACCGGAAAAGGACTTGCTGAAGTGGGGGAGGAGCTCAAAAGGGATTGTGGGAGGGAGGCTTCTTCCTTTCCATCTGGCGGCAGCCATCAGGTAGGCTGGGTGGTGGACCTTCGCTCTTCCATCCGCCGCTAATCGCTCTCTGTCTCAGCCATCCGAACTTGCAGACCCTGCGTCTTCGGGGCTCCTCCTGCCTCCTCTGCGGCGAGAGCCCAGTCAGGATGCAGGACCGCGAGAACGTGGAGAATCGTCCCCACGGTTGGGGTGGGGGAAGACGCGATGGCGGCGCGAATTCTAGCTGGGCCGCAGAGCCTGAAGGAGGCGTGGGGCGGAGGTATGGGAGGCTAGGCCTTGGGCAGCCAGAGCGAGCCTGGCACGTTGGATGGGGTCAGTCAGTTTTACTCGAGAGGTCACCCTTGTTGGCGACAGCAACACCATCTTTTCCTGTGGTGTCGGCGACATTGCCTTGCGAGCTGGGCCCTTGGGAACGCGCCGCCTGCCGTGGGCATTCGCCTTCTAGGTGTCCAGATCCAGCTCTGTTCATTCGTCCGACCAAAAATGTGCGTAGCGCTTCTGGCTGCTCCGTGCTGGGCGTACAGAGGCGGCTGTCCGTGGGCGCGGAGATGGGGGGTGGGCTCCGGTCGCCTGCAGCTGCAGAGCCATTTTCATTCCCGGGGTTTTTCTTCGGGGAGGTAAGAACTAAGATGGACGGACGTATGGTCTCATTGTACTTGAAGCGGGTGCTGTTTTTTCATACGCAGTTTTGTCTTGAAAGGTAAGCCAAGATGGGTGCGTACAAGTACATCCAGGAGCTATGGAGGAAGAAGCAGTCGGATGTGATGCGCTTTCTTCTGAGGGTCCGCTGCTGGCAGTACCGCCAGCTCTCTGCGCTGCACAGGGCTCCCCGCCCCACCCGGCCGGATAAAGCGCGGAGACTGGGATACAAGGCCAAACAAGGTGCGTGGTCTCGTTGCATAGATGTTTGAATTACTGTATATTGGTCGAGAAAAGCTAGAAACGAGTAATTAGCAAGTCATTGGTGACCCATTGTCTTCCTTGCCATAATGTTTTGGCAGGACAGTGCTACTAGTAATAGTGCACTGAAACTACTACAGTATGTACTGTCGTCTGAAGTGACAAGTATGTAGATTACATATGTGCAAAATAGTCTGCCTCCCTTTGTAAACCCTGGAGTTTTAAAAAGCTAGTCTCAAATGTGTTTGTGTGTAGGTTATGTCATATACAGGATTCGAGTGCGCCGTGGTGGCCGGAAACGCCCAGTTCCTAAAGGTGCGACTTACGGCAAGCCTGTCCATCATGGTGTTAACCAGCTAAAGTTTGCACGAAGCCTTCAGTCTGTTGCTGAGGTAAACAGTTTTGAGTAGCAGTTGTATTTATCACTTATTAGCGGTAGTGGGTAAGAAGGATTTGAGTGACTGCAGATTTATCTGTGGAAGCCTTACTGTGTATAACACGAGTTGAACTATAATCTTTGCAAGAGTAGTTGCTATCAAAAACTATCAGTGTTTGTTACCAATCTGTATTTGTGTATATGCAGAGAATGTTTTATGATTGGATTTGTGGAACCCAAGCTTTTACACTTGATCTTAGCCAAAAGGCGGAGAAGTGATGGAACCCAAGCTTTTGAAGGGCAATAACTTGATGTTAGCAGATTTCTAGATGCTAAATTTATTTGTTACTAATCTTAGTGGTCAGTTGCAGGTTACCTTCTGGATTAGTAAATTAAGCTGTCTCTGTTGTATGGGTTAGTTAGCAAACCAAAGTCTTAATTCCTTCCACAAGCTAAGTTTGTTTTTCAAAGAAGAGGAAATAATGTAGAAGAGAACAGATGTGCCTGCACAATTTAAAATGTATACTAAAACTTGAAGAAATTTTTGCTGATGTCTAAGTTGTATTAGAAAAAGACAGGGTTGCAGATGTAGGTAGAGTGCTTTTCAGCATGCAGGAGGCCATGGGTTCAGTCCTTCAGCAAGTGTGTTTTTATCTCGTGTATGTCAGCCACTGTAGGAAGTTCTTAATTTGATGAGCTAAGTGAAAACCCTTGGTCTCTTGTCTAGTGGTGACCTAGTGTTAAGTTAGGATTCTACTTTGCTACTGTACACAATATTTCAGGCTGACTTTGGGCCTTTTTTCCTGTTTTAGGAGCGAGCTGGACGCCACTGTGGGGCTCTGAGAGTTCTGAATTCTTACTGGGTTGGTGAAGATTCCACATACAAATTCTTTGAGGTTATCCTCATTGATCCATTCCACAAAGCCATTAGAAGAAATCCTGACACCCAATGGATCACCAAACCAGTCCATAAGCACAGGGAGATGCGTGGGCTGACATCTGCGGGCCGCAAGAGTCGTGGCCTTGGAAAGGGCCACAAATTCCACCACACTATTGGTGGTTCTCGCCGTGCAGCTTGGAGAAGGCGCAATACTCTCCAGCTCCACCGTTACCGCTGATAGAAGTAATGTTTGTAAAGTTCATAACCTAATAAATAATAAACAATTTAGGACAGTCCCGTCTGCTTAAAAGTGTTATTTGTTAAGTAGTCTGCTGATTATTTCATGAATGCTTTGTCAAATGAAAGTTAAAGTGCAATAATGTTTGAAGACTATAAGTGATGGTGTATCTTTGTTTTAATAAGCTTTTTTGTCTTCGCTTTATCTTATTGGGGAGTTATATGTCAGTGTTTAAACATGCTGTGTGGTGTATGTAATAGATGTAAAGTTATTTAAAAGAGAAGTGCTAAAACTAGCCCTGTAGATCTGTTTGGTGCATGTAATGAAACCTCCAGCTTTATTGGAGTAATGCAATGCTCTGCTGTTTTGAAGTGGCTGGTTTTTTGGAGTTTGGCAAATACAAACTTGAAATCAGATAACCCTGTGTCATGATCATATGTAGAAAAGATGGGAGCTCAAAAGAATAAACCTGTTGCCAGAGTTTTCTCTTGGAAATGAAATGAATTTGGCTTAGCCTAAACAAAATTGCCTGTCTCCACAGTACCAAGTAAGTTCACGTGAAAAGTCCAAATTCCTGGTTCGCTCATTTGGCTCCATGGAATTCTGAATTTGATAGATACTGGATATTAGGTAAATGAATTTACCTTTAGGTTTGTGAACTAGTCATGAAGGTAAGGGTGGAAAGCTGGTAATCCAAGAGGCCATTCTGTAGCTACATGGTTGGGAAAAAGTATTGGCCACTTAAAGATATGTTTTATGTACCCAGCAAACTGTCTTGGGTCAACTTGATTTATCCACTTCCAGAAGAACATTAAGTCAGTTGGTGTCACTGCAAGTTGATGGCTTTTTAATCTTGTCTGTTTTCTCATCCCTGGTCAGACTACTGTACTTTTCAAAAAATTTGCTATTCTACAAAGACCGCATTTCAATTCAGTTGTATCTTCCAGCAGACAGGTACTATTTACCAGGTGAAATTTGAGTGTGGGAGAAATTGCCCATTAACTTTTTCAAATTCTGGGTTTGCTGACCTAAGAATGGGGGCAGGGGGTTCCTAACTTCAAAATATAATTGATGCTTTCCATGTACCAATTTTTGTTTTTATAGGGATTTCAGAAGGGTCAGTTGATTTCCAGAAAATACGTGTTAACAGACAAAACCTTGAGACCTGAGCTTTCAATAAAATGAAGAAAGGGCCCATACATTTTGTGTGTAAAGGTTGTTTAAAGAATAAATGTCTACTAAACTAAAACAAGTGGGCCTTCTGTTAGTCTTGTCATTTTCTAGTGCAAGTTAGAAAAACACTTAAAAATTTATTTAGCCAGGTGCAGTGGTGTATGACTGCCTGGAATCCCAGCATTTAAGATGGGACAGGAGGGTTGCAAATTGCCCCCCAACGTGGCACTTTAGCAAGACTGTCAAAAAAAAAGCGGGGATGTAGCTGAGTGGTAAGTGTCTCTCGGTTTGAGAGAGGGTGAGGTTAGTAGCATTTTTACCCCTCCTGTGCTGCCTGTTGCTGTTACCTCCTCATGGCACTTAGGGACCTTTACTCCCATAAGACCTATCCTGTGCACAATGATGCCTTTATAATGAGAAAACCACCTCAAATATTAAATGTCACAGATACCCCCTGACCACCCCACAAGCTGTTTCCAGCTTTCATGTTTATTTTAGGGTATAATTCTATTTGTTTTTGTGGCAGTAAGGATTGGCAAATGCTAGGTAAAGCACTACCACTAAGCTATACTCAGTCTAGTGTATAACAGTGGAACTTCACATTTTTAGAAAGAGTACTTGGTTTCTCACAACCCTACAGATACTAATTTTTTTGCCAGTGAGGAAGCACAAAAGCTTAAGTGACTTGTTCAGGATCACTCAGTAGTATGAATTCTAATCTATAAATATTTAGAGTTCTGATAGTACATTAACATTAAAATGCAGAGGAGGACCAAGGATTTGGCTCAGTGGTGCTGCCGCCTGCCTCGAAAGTGCAAGGTCCCAAGTTCAATTCTCAGTACAAAAAAAAATTCAGAAGACACCATAGGTTGTGCAGTAAATATTCCTGCCTCCCACTTCTCCCTGGAGGCAATCAATGGGATTAATTTCTTGGATTTTTTAGTGGATATTTTTATGAATGTATAAGCAATACAAATGTATTCTTTTTTTACCCAAGTGGTAGGATACACATACTATTTTTTCCACTTAGTTATGTATCTGAAAGTTCATCCTGTATTTATAAAGAATTTCTTTTTTTTTTTTTCTTTGTACTGGATATTGAACTCAGGACGTTGTATTTGGCTGGCAGGTGCAGCACCACTGAGGTAAATCCCCGGCCCATTTCTTCATTCTTATACAGGTGTAACATTTGTTTGACATTGCCCCTACTGATGAACATTTAAGGTTTTCCCCAATTATTAAAAAAGGAAAAAAGTACTGTGCATGGTGGTGTCTATCTGTAATCCCAGCACTTGGGAGGCTGAGGCAGGACAATTGCCTCGAGTTCAAGGACAGCCTTTTGAGACCATCTCGGAAAAAATATGCATATATTGTAATTTATCTGTAGGATGAATTCCTAGTAGAATGGCAGAGTTAAAAATTAGATGCACAGGGCTGGGGATTTAGCTCAGTGGTTTTGCCACCTGCCTTAAAAGTACAAGGTACCAAATTCGATCCCAGGTACCAAAAAAAAAAAAACTTTAGGTTTGCCCTGTCCAATACAATACCACTAGCTACCAGTAACTACTTAAATTTAAATGAAATAGGATTAAAAAGTCATTTCTTACATCATACCACATTTAAGGGTTCAATGATCACATTTGCCGCCATACTAGCACAGAAAACATTTGGATCACCAAAGAAAGTTCTATTGTACAGTGCTAATTTAGAGCCTTGAAATTCTTTTCTCGTTTTTGTGGCATTTCACAGTAGAGAAAAGAGGCATCGAAAGTCTAGTTTTACCATAAAAAGTTTTGAGCCGGATGTGGTGGCTCATTCCTATAATCTCAGCACTCAGGAAGCTGAGGCAGGAGGATGGTAAATCTATGGCCAGCCTGGGATACACAGCAAGAACCTGTCTAAAAAAATTTGGTGCATAGATTTCATATCAGAATAGCATTTATTGCTATAGATTCTTTTAGGTTTATCATTACCCTTTTTGTGCTACAGGGTCCCAGTCCTTTTTGTTTGTTTGTTTGGTACCAGGTATTGAACTTGGGACCTTGCGCTTGCGAGGCATGCACTGGAACCACTGAGCTAAATCCCTGGCCCCCAGTCCTTTTTTAAAAAAATTTTTTTTCTTTTTAAATTTTGAGACAGGCTTGCTAAATTGCCCATGCTGGCCTTGAATTTGTGATCCTCCTACTTAGCTTCCTGAGCCAGTGGGATTACAAACATGCACCACCACAAGAATTTTACCCTAATAGTATAAACTATAAAAGGAAGACACGCCTGTAATCCCAGCACTGAGGAGGCTGAGGCAAGAGGAAATATATATATATTTAAGTATATATAAATATATATTTAAATATATATAAATATTAAATGTATATATTTATATATATATAAATGGAGGAAATGCTATACTTTTTCTAAGAATGAAATTTTGGTCTAAAAAAACTTTCATTTTCCATTGGCTTCAAGTTGGCCTACACCTTTTGCCAAACTCTTGGATCCTTAAAATCAGTATAGTAAACATTACTCATTTTCTGGCACCTGCCTTGCAAGCACAAGGTCCCGAGTTGGATCTCCAGTACCAAAAAAAAAAAATTACTCATTTAAGGCCTTATTTGGATTGGTGCTGGCAGTCAAGCTGGCCTGACAACAGTAGTGAGCTGATGCGCGCAAGCTGCACCTTGACCGCAAGCTCCCCACAAAGAATGACCCAGAGCAGAGGCTTTTGCCCAGCAACTCTGTCTGCACCGCCTCATCATCACTCTCCCAAGCCAGCTTTGGCTAGACTTGGTTCACACGTTAGTTATTCTTACTAATGCTGCAGCGAACATTCCCAATATACATATAATTTCCAGCGTATTTTTTACATAGGCAAAATAGACTGACAATAGAGGGCCTTTGTAGGAAATATTGATCAAGTTTTCTTTAAAAAAATTCTGCTCTGGGGCTGGGGATTTAGCTCAGTGGTTCTGCGGCTTGCCCTGCAAGCGCATGGACCTGAGTTTGATTCCTGGTACCCGCCTCCAAAAAAAAAAATTCTGCTCTGGGCCAGGGATTTAGTTCAGTGGCACTCCACCTGCCTCACAAGTGCAAGATCCTGAGTTCGATCCCTGGTACAGGAAAAAAAATTAAAAATTTAAAAATTCTGCTCTAAGGGCCAGGAATGTAGCTCAGTGGCACCACACCTGCCTAGCAAGCTCAAAGTCCTCAGTTTCAAAAATCTGCTGTAAAGCCAGGCATAGTGGTGCATACCTCTAATCCCAGCACTCGGGAGGCAGAGACAGGAGGATTGCTGTGAGTTCAAGACCAGCCTGGGCTACATAGTGAGTTCAAGGCCAGCCTGAATTACACAGCAAGACCCTGTCTCAAAACAAACAAACAAACAAATTCTGCTCTAGCCAAGTATGATGGTGCATGCTTGTAATGCCAGCACTCTAGGAAGCTGAGGCAGAAGGATCAAAAGTTCGAGCCCAGGGCCGGGGATTTAGCTCAGTGGTTCCACCACCTGCCTTGCAAGTGGGAAGTCCCGAGTTCGATCGCCAGTAGCAAAAAAAGAAAAGTTCAAGCCCAGTGACTTACTGATACAGCAAGACCCTGTCTCAAAATTTTAAAAAAGGGGACTGGGGGGATAGGATATACCTCAGTGTGAGGCCCTAGGTTAAATCCCCACTACTACCCGCCAAAAAATCTGCTGCAAAGATACTATAGTTGTGCTTTGTAACCTCATAAAACATTTTAAAAGTCTGCTTTTTTTTTTTTTCCTAAAAGTTTGCTTCTGATTGAAGCTTTTTTTGTTTTTGGTGCCAGGGATCAAACTCAGAACTTCGTGCTTGCGTGACAGGCGCCAGAACCACTGAGCTAAACCCCCAGCCCTTGAATGAAGCTTTTGAGTGAAGTATGCTTGAATGAAGTAGCTGGCATACACACTTTGCAAGTCAGTCTCAAATCCTGGTAAAGGACAACTCCCTCTTCCAAAACTGATTAAATCGTTTAATTGGCAAGCTATGAACATCTGAACTCATTTGCTTGCAAATCTCATTGTCATTTAGAAAGGTTCATTATTTGGCAATCCCAGTTAGTTTAGAAACAGTAATGGATGGGCAATGTAATTACCAGTCATCTAATCACTAAACTTTCTATGAGACTGTAAATATACTATTTAGGTTCTAGAGGTTATTAACTAAGCTAGGAAGTTTCATATATCAGAAAGAAAAATTCAAAACATGACCATCCACATTAAAGATTCTTA